TCTTCAATAATACAAACAACATGCCGGTCAAACGCGTAGGACCAGGTAGTCGAAATATTTAAGACATGAAGAATCTTTTCAGTGGTGCAGTAGAAATTTCATGGTAAATCAGACCCGATATTAACAAAGAGTTTGATGCACGGTTTGTTACTCAGCTAATAAAACTATCACAAGAATAACAAGTCTAAAATTGAATAGGGTTTATTTAAAAACATGGCGGTTGGTTTAAAATTCATTTAAGTTATGTTAGTAATTTCATTTTAATGGAATCTGGCGGTATGTAGTTTTGTCTGACATCGTAACGTGAATGACTTACACGAAAGTGTGTCAAAAATCTGTTAAGTTTTGAAGTGTCATAGGACGATGATGTTTTGTGAAGAACAGTGAGAATTAATGAGTCGTTAAATATTTAATGCATCTCTAAACGCAGTGAAGCAACTTGCCATTAATTCTCTATCAAGCATCTCTCAAGCAACTATTTTTATGCTTTTACTCAGAGTGAAACATTATTTACACTATTTACATTGTTCGGGCTATTGTTCTCATCTTTACTCACGGCGTTTCGGCTGTTGTACGCTCCGGCCTTCTCCAGGTGATATATATTGGATTACTTCAACCAACGTTTGAGGACACATGGCCCAGTGGATAAAAACCTTGGCTGAAGTAATCCAGTGACTTGACCCAAAGAGTTGTGAGTTCAATATCTGGCCACAGCACAGGTGAAAAAAACAAAACAAAAAAAACTTGGAGAGTGAAGTTACTAAATGGAAATAACTGAAACTGAAATATCCAGAAAAAGGCATGGCACGTGGAACTAGAACAATCTATCCTCGTGGAAAAATAAAGGGATCGTTTCGAAATTCCAGCGTATATCACTTGAAAAAGGCCTGCGTTTACAACAGCCGAAACGTCGTGGACAATAAAGATGAGGACAATAGTCCGAACAATGTAAATAGTGTAGATAGTTACAATAGCTCATCTTAGAAATATAGACGGATGCTACAGAAGTCTGGAGCAAACAACGGCCAAAATGTCGTGAATATAACAATAAAGATGAGGACAACAGTCCGAACAATGTAAATAGTTTAAAGAGTTACCACACCTCATCTCAGAAATACTGACGGATATTGAAGTGAAACATTTTTCTGGTGGAAGGTAAAAATCCCAACATGAATCTCACCAAAATGTGGATGATAATGGGAGATATAGATATGAAACAAAACCAAAGTTCTATAAGCGAATTTTGGAAAATGAATGGAAAGATGACACCAGATCAGTGCAAGGAACTTGTCAAGTTCTATGTGCTGAACTTATTGCTAATAATTGCCTTGTTACTTTATACTAATTGTTTGAAGTTTTATCTTTAACAAATGTGCAATTTTTATTTTGTTAAATTTATTTAAAAATTAATATTGTATACAATAAAGAGTGCGACAAAAATACCTCCTACATTTTAGATATTGACAAAATGAACAAAATTAAAAAAGATTTTACTATTGATAACACAAAGAGCAATAGGTTTTATTCATTTGTTTTTTTTTTTTTAAAAATCTTCCAAATGATGGATTCTATTCACAATACATTTGGCAGTTACTTGAGCCTGGACATTTTATAGAGTTCGAACGCTTTGTGGTCTTCAAGGTGGCTTTCTTTTAAGCGCTGGACTTGTGACCATAAAATTTTCAACCCGTAGCCCTATCGATCCGGAACAGAATCTTTCCGACGTAATATGAAATGAGTAAGAACATCTCTCCTTGTTGCAATTACAGTTTCACTAGTCTTAAAAATGTTTCAACAGCAAACGCACGGTGTGCACCGGTACAAGCAATAATGGTAACTGACAGAATGGTAAGACATTATAAAGACACCATTGCCATTAGTCTAATTTCACTAGCACAACACAGCTGACAGTTTAAAATGTAGGAAATATTTGTGCCGCACTCTGTACAAAAGTTCATTTATTTTGTCCATTAAACTACCTTTTTTTTCAAGTAAATGATTTTCTGAAATAACTTTTCTTCCATAAACTCTTTCGATCAAAGCTTTTTCGCGAATGAAAAAAATACAATGAGTTAAGATTTATGTAAATTTCAAGATTCTATGACAATTATTATTAATAAGTACATTTAAACAATTTCGTCATTTATTTTTCTCGTTACTGTATTCATCGTTTATCGTCTGTTTATGAACAAATAAACATTTTCCTTTTAATCGTTTGGTGTTTACGTTTACCGTTAAGAATATTATACAAAAAGAATCAAATTTTCTTGCAATCATCATAAAAAGGCACTTCATCATGTTTGTAGTTCTGAACGTTTAATTTTTAGGAAATGTTTTTCTTATTATAGAATTAAATTGTGAAGTAAAAACCTTTTTGCTAAAACCTTTTCTTAGAACTGAACAATAAGATAGTAAAGGTGAACTAATATTGCTGTTTAGTAAAATTGCATAACTAGTAACTTAATTTGAATCCCGCTGCTCACAATCTTCAATCTACAGCAATAAAAACAAATTTTACGCTGCTAAAATACTTATGAGGAGTATAGTAAACAAATGGTGCAACTTACAATTATTTTTGCAAACAAACTGTTTTTCCTTGCAAAAATACCGTGAAAATAGTATCTTGCAAAAATTATCTTGCAAAAAATGTATCTTGCAAAAATGCATCTTACAAAAGAGTATCTTGCAAAAACATGTCTAGCAAAAAAACTATCTTGCATAAAAATGTATCTAGCAAAAAATATCTTGCAAAACAGTATCTTTCAAAAAAGTATCTTGGGAAAAAGTATCTTGCAAAAAGACTCTTGCAAAAAATATCTTGCCAAAAAGTATCTTTCAAACAAATGTATGTTGTAAAAAAGTTTCTTGCAAAAAAGAATCTTGCAACAAAAATATCTTGTAAAAAGTTTCTTGCAAAAATGTATCTTTCAAACAAAAGTATGTTGCAAAAATGTATCTTACAAAAAAGAATCTTCCAAAAAATATCTTGCAAAAAATGTATCATTCAAAGAAAAGTATATTGCAAAAAGAATATCTTGGAAAAAGTATCTTACAAACAAAAGTATGTTGCAAAAAAGTATCTTACAATAAAGAGTTTTGCAAAAAAACAGCAAATGAGGGCATAAAATCAAAATTAGTTTGTGACAAAGGAACTGCATTTTGCTATTCTGACCAAAGAGCAAAAGTCACAATTGGACACAAAGGCGCGTTCGGTTATCAAGGTCGAATTTACTGTATTTACACTTCAATCTTCCATGAATCTCTGACAAATATTTTCTGTGAAAATTTCTCGGACATTCAGGCCGGTAAGTGTTGTTTAATACTGTTTATTATAAACAGAGCATTTACTTAAATATTTGTATCTATAAAAAGAATGTATAAACATAAAACTGGATTAAAATAATTATCGAACTTTGTCCATTTCATAATGTGTGACGTCATTTGTTTACATTTGATACGCCATGAGCAGATATGAATGTACATGCGAGATTCATAGCAGATTGAAGTTTAAATACAGTAAATTCGACCTAGCTTCTCGAACGTTCCTCTGTGGCCAAATCGGTAAAAGCACGTCAAGCTAAATGACGGTTCCGTATAGGATACTGGTTCGAATGCTGTCGGAGGACGACTAATTTCTCTGAAAATTTCTCGGACATTCAGGTTGGTAAATGTTGTTTAATACTGTTTATTATTAACAGAGCATTTACTTAAATATATATATGTATAAACATAAAATTGTCTTAATATATATACATGTATATAAAATTGTCTTTCTTTCTTTTTTTTTTTTTATTTATTTATTTTTTTTTTTTTTATATATATATATATATATATATATATATATATATATATATATATATATATATATATATATATATATATATATATATATATATATATATATATATATATATATATATATATATATATAAAGGAAATTCATTAAGTTCACCAGATTTTTAATTTGTTTCTTTAAACGGTATTTTTAAAATGGATACTCATATTCGACCAGATGCTCTGTTTTGATGGACGCAGGTTCGAATCCTGCTGAAGAACGCATATTTTTCTAACAAGATTTCTCAAATATTCGTTTAAGAAATAAATCAAAATAGACCATCTACTCAAATATGTGTTTAAAAAGCTTAAACAAATAATATATATATATGTGTATGTGTGTGTGTGTGTGCGTGTGTGTGTGTAATAAAAAACAAACTAAAAAAAATATATATTTTGACAGTGCTTTACATTTCACAGTAGTTATTTTCCTAGATTACTTGCCAATCAAAACTAGAGAAGGAGAATACATGAGTTATTTGTTCGAAAACGAATCCTATGGTCGCGGCTAGAGTTTGAACTCGGTAATACGAATTTTTATTTTCCCGGTGATAAGTGTTAGGCCACAGACACATTCCGCGAATGAATACTAGTCATATATATTAGGATATATTTATAAATATGCATATGACTCACTGACTGACTATCTATCTATCTATATATAATGACAGCTCAAGCCTTGGTCTGAAGATTGCTCTGAAGCATGAAACTGACATCTTGTAAAATGTCGATCGACCTTCTATTGATCTTTCTCAGGAGGAGGCAAACTTATCTCGGGCAAACATCCGTTATCAACAAATGGCGACCGTTTGCATAATACAATAAAACGTAGATAGGATTTGTGTGTAGGTTAGTTGATTTCAGCTGTTTGGTACATAGTTATTAGAATATAACTAGTATTTTGATAGAACGTGCAGGAAAAGCTACCGAAGTGATAACTGACTGATTTTGACAGAAATATATCTTCTGTCAGGCGGAACAGGTTTCGATCGTAGTTCCAAGCCACAAGAAACTATATATATTTAGCAAATAATTTACAGCACAAAATCAAAAGACGGAACATATGTGATAAAAATGTCTCTGTTACTCCAATCTTCCAAATAGAAAAGGCCTCCTGACTTTGAAAATGATAATTAAACAATGGTTTTTACCCAGGTTCGAGCACCATGCATTGTGACAGCACCAAATTCATAGTGACTTATATCATTCTATGTTTTTTCTATCTTTCACTGATTTTTGTTTTTCTCTTTCTTTCTTTCTTTCTTTCTTTCTTTCTTTCTTTCTTTCTTTCTCTTAATTTACTCATCCACTGGCAAAAGAAGGGAAAATTCTGTTAAACCAAAACACGACGCTTAAAATATTGCCTTTTATTTTGATTAAAACGTCACAGCCAGCAATGATATCAGAAAAAAACGAAATCGACGAGTAGTGTGAGCTTTTTATTATGCAGAAAAAAAACTCAACTTCACCCAATAAATGGCCCGAGAGCCACTGAGGGTAGAGGCTTACTTTTAAAATAAGTATGATGAACGAGGTGTGTGATACTAATGAAACAATACATGAATATTATGAGGATAAGGAGAATAGATAACGATAGCACTTTTTCATGAAGTGGTTGATAGTAAAATGTAGAATGAAGTACTTGTGAAGTGTTGTAGAAACATAAATCCTACTATTATGTTCTGTTTCTAGGCGTCAGGTCAACCATTAATTTTTTACATATAAGATGAAGAACTGGAAAAAGTCCAGTACTATATATATATATATATATATATATATATATATATGTATATATATATATGGATCGGAATCCGACAGGATGCTAAAATGAAGAACAAATGTAAACGTATGTCAATCTAACAAGTTTCACTTTTATTAAAGATTAAAGCTTCGTCCCAGATTGAGAGAAAACAGACATAAAGACATAAACACTGGCATTTTTATTTTTGTTTGTGTCAATTCTCATTGGTTAGTGATGTATCATGTGCATTAAAACCGTAGATAATTCTATATGTATTTGTTTGTGAAGATTCTTGTATGTTTAGCCGAGAACAGATGGCAATGCGTATTCGTAATTGTGTATATGTGTCTATCTAGTGGGAGTTTTAATGTTTTTCCCTTAATGCGGTCAGCCAGAATCTATGACCTATTTCTTTAAGCATCTATTTTTTTGAAGTTCAAATGACTAGTCCAGATTTTAGTTTTTGGTTGTGGTGGGAATAAAATTTTATTAGTGAGTTTACGATAAATTTTAAAATCTAATTGTTGCGTATTAATAAGATGTCAAGTAAAGGTAGGGACTTGTTCATTTCAAATTCGTTTGTGAATTCAGTGCTAGATTCAACGTAATTGAGTTTTATTATTATGTCTAATAAGTTTGTATCTTGGAGATATAAAAAGAGGAGGTTAATTATATATCTTAGGTAAGAAGGGCTGTTTGGTATGATGTGTTTAAATGGACCACATTCTAAAAAATTCAGGGAAGCAAGAACACCTCTGATAAGTGACCCCATAGGAATTTTTGTTTGTAGAGAATATTGTTGAAAGAAAAAAGAAGAAATTAGTCATTAGTTTGTATATATTTATAATTTTGTGAACGGGTATCGGAAGCTTTTCTTTGGACTTTTTGAGGTGGTTTCTCAATATATTGAGGTATTTCGTGAAGGGTATGTTGATGTATAATGATTTGATATCTATGCTCGTCATGGCCATGGCTTCCATATTTGCATTTCGTATTCTATGAATTAAGTCACCAGTGTGTTTGATAAATGTTGTGTTGATAGTTCATAGTAACAAATTATTTTTCAGATGGTTCTAGCTAATTTGTGGGGTGCAGTGTTGATACTGGACACAATGGGTCTGATTGGTATGTTGGGTTTGTGTGTTTTGGGTAATTCGTATGGTGTGGGTGTGGTGGGGTGGTATTCTGTTATTCAGGGATTTTTTTCGTTTTTTTTGTAGCTTCTTAACTGTTTTGTTGAACCCTTGTGTGTCAGAATTTACTGTTTGTTCATTGTTTTTTGTATAAGTGTTGTCACTATTTAGGAGTGATTCTAATTTTTCAGTGTAGACTTTAGTGTCCATTAGAAATATTCCGCCTCTTCTGGCGGATGGTGTTATGATGATATTTTCGTTCGTTCGTTCGTTTTTTACTTCCCGTATGTATTTCCTGGGTAGCGTAGTTTCATCCATGTCTGTGAGTGTGGCTGCTAATATTTCTTGTACGAAACCTTTTCAAATTCGGTGTGGTTGAATTTATGGTTTTTGGTTAAGGTTGTGAGAGCATCATCTTTCTTTAATCCGGTGGCGAATTTCAGGCCAAAACTTAAAGCCTCCTTTTCAGTGATAGAAAGTTTCAGTTTGGAGATGTTGTGGATAAGATTTCAGTAATGCGAATCTTATCCACATCTCAAAATTCAAAGACTCAAATATCGTCCTCTTTTGTCTGCAGCAAGGAAAATGTTTATTGACATTTGATAATCAACAGAAAAAAAATCAAAATCTCCAATAAGGAATATAAACAATACGATATTTCCCAACATCGAAGACGCTATATTTTTTTCCCAAAATAAGTCTTGAAAACCTTATTAGCATCCGACAAGACGAAATTACTTTTATATTTTTTCCATATCTGGATTGACTTCCTGATATCAAAGCATTCTCGACACCACAAAAATATATATATATAGACGACTGGGTGGTCACGGCAATTCTCGTGGAATAGTTTTAGTAATATGCAGCTTATAAATAAATGAAATATGGTAAATGAAACTGTAAGTGTAAATAGTAAGAACATTAGTGCTTTGATCTTCAGACTGATCCTACTATCAAGGCGAGAATATAAATTCTCATTTTGTTAAAAAATATAAAACTAAGTGTATAGAACTCCTCCTTTAAACTTCAATATTATCGCTGTTCAGATCTTTCAATAGTGCTGGAAAACTGTAGAGAATGGAAATCTGTTAAAAATCAATTTCAGTTTCTTTCAATATTGGCCTGCAATATCCCCATCTTTGTTGTGTTTGTCCCATCAACTAAGTAAATTCATTGACTCCCCTCGTACGAGTGTATCATTAGTACTTGTTCCGTTTTATTTAATAGGAACGATAAAGTTAGCCCAATGTAATACCCAACAACAAAAGTGGATGAATAAATCATCAAAAAATATCAATTCTTAACAATAGAACATCAGAGAACATTAGAAAAAGTGTCCACCAGTCTTAATATTGTGATTGAAAAACAACCAGGAGGATACTTGTCTGAATACTTCATAAATAAAGAGAAATCATACAAACAAGAAAATATTTCCGTTCAAAACATCGTACTAAAAATGAGAAAAAATATTGAACAAAAAATTGTTCAAATTATGGTAACGGCATAGTGTCATTTGCTGAAACATTTTAGAGCTTCTTCCCCGACATATGTTAGAATTTCATCAGCTAATACATAATAGAAATTATTCTCTTGACACATATTAAAACTTCATCTTCTGACACATATTAGAAATTCATCCTATGACACGTATTATAACTTCATCCCCTAAAACATATTAGAACTTCATCCTCTGACACATATTATAACTTCAGACTCTGACAGACCTTAGAACTTCATCCTCTGACACATATTAGCATTTCATTCTCTGACACCTGTTAGAATTTCATCTTCTCACACATAGAACTTCATTCCCTGACACTTATCTACCTCGACAAAGAAAAAAACGGTACGCATTTTACTGGTAAAAACAAGGAGGAAAAGAAAACAATCTCGAATAATTTACAGAAAAGATACAATGTTATTTGAAGCGGGATTATTCACGGGTGCATCTTTCGATGTTTGAAGGACAATTGATTAAAAGAAGATAAATATTGACGAGATTTCTTGCGCTTAAAATGTTTAGGTTTTAATTTTTCTTCCTCAAAGACAGTTTTCGTGATGGCAACTATTTTAATGTTGGAGAAAAGTGATTAAAATGTCATCATACATCGTCAGTCATGATGAATTTTGACTTTATTGGGGTTTAACATGACTTAAAATAGTTTTGTGTTTTAACACTAAAAAAAAGAAAAATAATGGATAAAAAGACTAAAAAAAAATAACAGCCAATTTTGACATTTACTTGTTATTGCTTTCTATCAAGTTTGAAGCAGAACTTTTAATACCTTATTTTTCTTGATAAATGTATCCAAATAACTCTCTCTTAATTTTTATTTCCCTCTGTAATTATAGGCTTTAATGTCTCCCTGAAGTCATTAAACGTTACTCCAGTACATCACTCTATGAATAGGACATTGTGTGTGTGTGAGTCAGTGAGTGTGCGTCAGTGTGTGTGTGTCTATTCTTGTCCAGCAAATTTATTAGGAAAAGGAACAATTATCACTTTTTAATCTTAATGCAAACCTGAATCGTTTCGCTAAACTCTAACTTCATGCCAATACGTAATGTATATATATATATATATATATATATATATATATATATATATATATATATATATATATATATATATATACAGAGTGGTGGATAAATTGTCGTCTAAGTTATGCAAAAATGAAAATAATACATCTCATTTTAACATATATTTACTGAAATTACAAAAAATATTTTGAAACACTAAAGAGTAAACTTATTTAATAAAACACCATTCGCTTCAACCATGGCCTCCAGACGACTTCGGAATCTCCAGCTTTTGTCTGGACAGTCACCTTATTTAAGTTGGTGAATACTACCATAATTCTTGCCTCCAGTTCATCTTTGGTGTTACAAAGAGTTTTGTTGGTCTCTTGATCAATTGCGGCCAACACACAATAATCAAATGGGTGGCAGTCTGGGGAGTCAGGTGCCCAGATGTAACGGGTGATGTGGTGGCAGAAATTTTCTGACTGCCATGTCTGTTTTCTCCTACTTGTGTAGCATGGTGCAGAGTCCTGTTGCCAAATATAGTGTCTTCTAGAACCCGTCCCCTTGACCCAAGGCAGCACTACTGTTGAGTTTGCGCCCCTGTGGGAAGATAAATGGAGGCATAACATCGCCAGTATAATTGATTACTCCAAGCATATTCTAATCAGAATTAGAATCATCCAACTTTTTCTGTATACTCAGCACTGTCCTCAGATTGACACGCAAAACAGTCTGAATTGTTCATTTACTAGCTTCCGATGCAAATGTCATGGAGAAAACCATGCCACCAAATTTCTGGTTGAGCGAATTGCGTTACGGCGCGCTTTTTCTCACAGACGATGACCGACTGACACTAATATACTCTGCAGTCGACAAAGTGAAAGCCAAACAACACGCATGCGCTAAATCAAAAATATAAGATGGCGAAAATTTAC